TTGCAAGATGTATTCCAGTATGTCTAAGAAGTGAAAAATCAAATTAGTTACAAATTGCAAAAAGCCAGACTAAAGCAACTTGTTATTTTGTCTGTTAACATGTAACATAAGTATTAAACTTAAAGAAAAAGCGGTATACGTTTAATTTTTCCAACCGAACTAGACATTTTCTATTTAGTATTGCTTTTCCTTCAGGTTTCTGGCTTGGAAGAAGTATTTCATGATTCAGTTTAACTGGTTTCAAGTGAAAAAAAATGGAGTTTTGTTACAATAGAATTTTTATCCGGTTTAGACGTATCTGAAGCTGTTTTCTCAAAGATTTAGGAAAAAAAGCTCTCATTGCCCTTGTTTTTATATTCAGTTTCCTCCAGAATCGCCAAAAAAGTACGATTTTCATCGCCAAATGTGCACTGTATCAAAGGTGATTCGCACAAAGTGAACTGCACTTTTTAGCATAATTCAGCTTAAAGTGTTTTCTCTAAATCAACTGCATTTATTTATGCACAGTTGTGATTTTTTTTCATTGTAGGTCGTTGATTCGATGAATACGGTGATTGAAGATTTACGCGTGAAGTTGAGTGATGCAGAACGCTCAATGGCTGATATGAAGAATCGGGACACAATCCTGGAACGTGAAAACAATGAGTGGAAAGAAAAAATTAACGCCTTAAATGCGCAACTGGATCGTCTGCGTGACGAACTGACTTCCGTACGAAATGACGCAGACAAGGTAATTATTAGAATGAATTGAAGATGGCCGCTGAATGAATCAAGTCAAATGAATTGTTGATTTTTCAGGAAATCAGTCGTTACAAGGCTGATTTGCAAGCAGCTCGTAATGAGATCAAGACACTGGCTTCAACCAACGACGGACTAAAATCACAGCTCGCTGCTGCGGAGGATAAGATCAATTCGCTGAACAAAATAATAACCGACCAGCAGAACAAGATTCGTGACAGTAAGTGTTCCAGGCATTTTTCATCATCGTCAAATGTAACAAGCGGTACGCTTAACAGGACTAAGCGTGTGTGTGAGCCGACAACACATATTAGTAAACAATATTTAATGTTCTAAAAAAAGCAGACCAAAACCTGGATGACGATCAAACCATCAGCAGCTCCAAGCTACCGCCGCACAGCTCTTTTACGCATACAAAAACTGAACTTCATTTCCAATCACATTACTTTATATCACCAGGGGGAACTCAAGTCATAAAACAGGACATTTGCATGTCACACGAAAACGGAGAGCGACTGGGAAGCGAAGAGGGCCAGCTGCCAACTTCATTCCTTGCTGTAACAGCACTTTCTTTTTCAACATAGGA